GGTAGTCCATGAATTTCAGCATAATTCTCAAGAAAATTCTTCACGGCTGTAGCAACGGTTATATCAATGGTTATTTTAGTTTTCCATTGCGGCACTCGTTTGATATTACCGTGAACGCGTGATATTATACCATTCGTTGCTAGATGATTTCTGACGTTTTCCAAATGAATGCGACCAATTCCTAACATATTGAGATACGTTTTCTGACAAAGTGGCGTATTGCGATCTCAATAATAAAAAGTTCTCTTATTAGTACGCGATTTCTTTTTAAGACGTCGACTGGCAGTTATTTCCCCGCCATTCATTGCTTTCAACTGGGCCATTAAAAATATATCTTGTTCAGATCTAGAGAGGGCTTGAAACGCTTCACGTAACTCGGCAAACATTTCTCTCGGAATCTTTTTTGAGCAACCACAGTTGCAACCTGCCTCTAAGAAACGTATTGCTTTTTCATATTCGGTGGAACCATTGTATTCGTTGTTTTTCATATACGGGTAATCCTATATAATAATTTTAACGGTGAATCCATTGAAGAACCTTTTTATCAGGAGTAATAATTAGCATATTAGAAGTTTGCGCTTTTATTCATTTGAGCATTCAAGTAAGCATTTCATTATTAATAATACGAAATTTATTTTTTTCAATCAAATATTGAAACAGCTTTAGCAGTCCTCCGTAGCTGTACCCAATAAAGGACCCCACCAAATCAATCAAATATTGAATACACACTTTTCTGTTACAGATGGAGCGATATACTATGTTTAATAGCCCAAAGAGATGACATATATATCATATTTTCTATGACATGTGACCTTTGAATATATTGGTGAAGAACATCACTACTGTGAACTAACTTTTTTTTTCAGTGCAATAAGTAAGTGAATAACCTTAGATTTCTGGTCGAAAATAGAAAGCTTATTACCTATTCTTTTGGAAATGACTAAGTGATAAATTAGAAACAGTAATAGCAGTAAATCAAGTTTCATGCTACATTTGCCAGAACATATTATCCTTTATTGCTGAAGTATGTAGTATTTTACATGTGATTGATGCAAGTTCTAATTTATTTGCATAGTATGCAGATTTCTAAGACGGAATTTGAATAAGCAGAATTTACTTCTAAAGCAATGATAACAGGGATTCTATTGACTGTGAGGTCAGTTAGAACTGCTTCTCACCAGGCCTGTTGTTCAATTCGACGTCGTATACAACGTTCAGACTCAAAGTTATGATTAGAACTTCCTAGCGATGTTTCTGGAAGGTGTTTTTTTGGTCGAGAACACCAAGTTTCTGCAGTCTCTAGGAATAAACCCTGCCAATATTCATAGTCCGGTATCACTGTGATGTCAAGATCATAGACATAGTCAAAAAAGTCTCGAAATACTGGCGGAAGCCCATCAAACAGATAAGTGAGTTTTCTTTCCTTCATATGAACGGCCTGGTATGGATCCTCGGTGACAGTCTGCCAATACGCATTGTTCGAATTGTACATAAATGCAATTGTATAACAGAGGGCTTCCAAGTCGTCTCCAGCTCCGAGACGCTTACCTCTATTATGAGAGGCGAATATGATATGGCCTTCTGGCCAACTACTGGGGACATTATCTCTTTTCTTGGAGAGCGGAACAGCGAAGCCAAAGTCTATCAGCCGGTATTTATCGTTAACATTTACGATATTCCCAGGATGAATATCGTTATGTATGTACCCGTATTTATGAAGGGCCTTTAGAATTTCAACAACATCAGTTATGATGTTGCAGGCAGTTGTCACATCAACCTTCGTGATTTTACTGCCAACCATGCTGGTGACAATGCAAGGGATACTCATAATAGGATTATGGAGATCTTCGTATAATAATTTCGGAATATCCTCGAGTTTTTCGAATTTTTTCAACATCTGAACTTCGCGTTCCAGACAACGATCATCCAAACTGTATTTAAGTGCTACTCGTACATTCTCCGGAGTGTACGCTTCGAAGACAATAGAACTGGACCCAGTCCCCAAAATTCGATATGCTTCAACTTCACCGATACTTGTCGACACGATCGGGAGACCGAATTGAGAGCGTTTTACTGCCCATTCCAGAATCACGTCGTATAAACCTTTATTTATGTTCACATGTCGACGGGGCAATGAGGTAGATGTTGTCTTAGGAGAATCGATGTCTTTGCTGGGAAAAAAGCTTTCAAGCTCTCGTGGAGAAGCATTAGCACGGAGTCTGCCGATGTTAGCTTTGGCGAAAGACTTGAAGACACGTCCGACAATCAGCAGCGTTTCCTTGCACCACTTGATGCTGTCCGTCAAGCCACCGAACATATCACCTTTCTTGTCCAAGTACGAATACCAAAGTGCATAGTTGGAACCGTTGGTAATGATTGAGAAGTATTTATGCGTACTATTCTCACTCGTGTCGAAGAAATGTCTGGAGTATCTGTGACACTGAACCATTGCTTGGTCTAAGGAGGAACTCGACCATTCCAATTTGTCCTCAAATGCGTAGCACTTTGTCCAATCGATTGTTCTTTGAGTGTATAAATTCTGCCACGTCGTGTATGTGAGGTAATGATCCGCATAAATGCTACCACTAGGACCACCATTATGCGTATCCTGGATAATGGCAAGGCCCCATATTTTCGCCAAAGATTCGTAAACATTCTGAACCCAAGGGTGCACATGTCCAACTTCCATTTTCCAATCGTTATTAGGGTTTGGTGGATTCTTATTGAGATGGACAAAATTTTTTTCAATGGTGCACGTTTCTTCAGGTGTGAGCAGTGGAAGCTCATCTAAAAACTCAAAACTGTTGAGAGTTAGATAGTTTGGATGGTTCTTAATGATAGAGCCCATAATAGAAGTCGAACGCGAGGGTGAGAGGTCCTTAAAACGAGAAGCTTGGAGCACGAAAGGGACAATAGATTAGGTGGATATGATCAACGTTGAAAAAGCATAAATTGGCGACGATATCACAATAGCAACTCATAATCAAAACCATATTACTATCCTAAGTACACACTATTCTACGTCCCCAACGCCCGAGTCACAAAGTCGTTACCTGTTTGAGCAGTAAGTCTGTCTTGTAACAGTACTACCTGGTTGCTCCACTTCTCCTTTTCTGCCTCCAGACGTTTCTCTTTCTCTTTAAGCTCCTTCAGATTCTCTCTCTCGTCCTCATCAAGTCTTTCTCTTCTCCGCTGCTTCCCCTTTAACTCTTCCAGCCACTTCCCTCCGTTCTCGTCCCCCTTGAATGCCTCCAATGCAGCCTCCGCCTTAGCTAGCTGCACCTTCGCATCGTTTAGCTCTTGTCTCACTTCTTCGATACTCGCCATTTTCTCGTTTGTTTTGTTTTCGTTGGAAAGATGTGCTGCGCGATGGATCTAATATACTAACGCTGATCAGTGCTTAATCAATGACGTATTATTAGGAGACCTTTTCACAATTACCGCTATTGTTTCCATTGTATGCAGAGTGTGACCAATTTGCAGAAATTGCGTTTGTATTAAATATATGACGATAAAGTTTACTATAAGTCAACTCACATTTAGAGTGATCGCATCACACGTAATAACAATTGTATGTAAAAAATAAAAACTTCTTTGCTTGAACAACGACGATCTCCAACAAACGTTATTTTTGTGATTGTAGTCTATATGACAACATAATAATGTACATGTTTTCATTAAGTTGGGACGATTTGCGAGTTTTGTTTTTTATTTAAAATTGAAGATGAATTGCAAAAGATAAAATAATCAGGATATTTACAATAATTGATACACATATTTTGTCATCTTGACTTTATTATTTCTTTAAAAAACAAAGTAGATATATTTGAAGATTCACTAGAGCGACTGCATGGGAGGGAATACTCGGTCCCAAAGCCATTAATGAGTACCCCTATACTTTGGTCGCGCTAGTGAATCTATGCTACATATCATTATTATTAATGTTATTAACATATTCATCTTCATTCCTCCTTCCTCTATCTACCCATTTTTAAGCGCTTCAGTCGTTTTTCTCGAGAATTGGCTTTTTCTTTGGTAAAAGCCTTTTAGAATAAAGGCGATAGTGCCTTTTTTTTCGCATAGTTTGCGGAGTTTTATAACCGCTTTGTTAAATAAGGCTGAGTCCAGCTCAGAATTTTTATCAAATAACTTATTGAGATATTCCCATAAATGCGTTATGTTTGATAAGTATTTTCGCTCAACGAGTAGCTGATATTTTGATTTAATTGTCCTTGATTTTATCGCTTGAAAAAGCGTTAGAGTTATAATCCGGACTTGATTGTGAGTTTTATGGTAGAACGAAGTACCAGCGATAAGTGTGATCAGCAGCAGTAGCTCGCAGATTTCAATAGCGAAAGTGAACATTGTGGGTGGGATTGTTATTTGATTTTTGTAGATAATAAAATAATGCTTTCGATAATACGGTTGCAATTCGATCGATTGTAATATTAATATGTTTTCTTTAAGCGAAAACGTGGTGAAATGGTACTGGTTTTATACTGGACTTGAAACAGCTGATTTGTCTATCAAACATAATGATTTATTCTGGTGTTTCCTATTTATTATTTTAATATTAATATTAATACTAATTTGAATTGTGTCGTATTTGTAGTACTTGTGGCACAACGAACCAAAATTATCGTATTCATAAAGAATCGTGGACATTTGTCCCGATCGTCGATAATTATTAACAATAATAGAAAAACAAATGTTTGCTTTATGTTTCTAGTTTTCGCTTTTTTCTTGGTTCATCATAAGTTGGCATTAATGCTCATTCATTGTTTACTATTTTTCGTTCCTCTTGATAAATTTCATAAGTAATTTTTTCTTTATCAAGATATTCCTGGAGAATTTGGTGTCATTCATTTTAAAAACATATGGAGCAATTTTTTCTCCTTGGGCTTTTTTTAGAATGCTTCTAATAATGC